GGAGCAGGACGTGGGGTCCCCGGCCACGTCGTGGGTCTCAGCCCTCTCCTAGTCCTTCCCCGGCTGTTCGGCCTCTCTCCAGCTCCCTTCTGCCTGGACTTCTGCCTTCTCTGCTGCCCCTGTCGCAAACCCAGCAGGAAGTGGCCTCACTTGCGTCAGTGAAACGCGGCCCCGGGATGGGGAAGTGGGGCAGAGGCTGCTCCGCCACAGCAGGTTGTCACGCTGAGCTGCCATGGGTTCTGTGCCAGGTCCTCTCCAGCAGCTGTTCCTCACCTCTCTGGGTTTTGCTTCAGTAAAAGCCATGGATTTTGGCAGCTGGGTGGTTGATCAGGTCAAATTTGGGGTTGCAAAGCCACAGGGCGAGCAAAGTAGTTGCTAAACTACTCCTAAGCGTGGTCCTCGATGGTGGGAGCTGCTAAGTGGTTCCTGCAAGCATCTCCTGGCCACCATGGAGGCCTGCAGCTGGGATGGGGCTTGTCTGCCCACCCACCTGCGCTGGAAGGTGAAGTTCAGCCCAAGGCAGAGCTTGGGAAAGCTTTGCCCTGCCTGTCCCCAACTGTGTTGCCCCGGTGAGGAGCTCTCAGAGGGGTCTGCCCTGCTGGCTCAGAAGGTTTGGAGCTGGGTGCTCCACACGTGGTTTCTAGTAGTTTAGAAAGTACTTAGGGCCACAAAGATGATGAGGGGCCTGGAGCATCTCCTGGGTGAGGAGAGGCTGAGAGAGCTGGGACTGTTCAGCCTGGAGAAGAGCAGCCTGAGAGGGGATCTGATCAATGTCTATAAATACCTGACCAAAGGCTGCTCAAGTATTTTATTCAATGTCTGTTACATAAAGAGTTGTAGACTCCTCCATCATCAGACACCTCCCTGACCCAAGCCACCTTCTCTCATTTCTTGCAAAGTAGAAAAGCTTCCAAAGAAAGAATTGAAGAGTATTCCCTTTGTGGAGTCTCCTTCTCCGGAGATGTTCAAACCCACCTGGACACTCTCCTGTGCAACCTGCTGTAGGGAACCTGCTTTGGCAGGGGGGTTGGACTGGATGATCTCCTGAGGTCCCTTCCAACCCCACCATGCTGGGATTCTGTGACTTTGCCTCTGCCACATCTACCAGTGATGCAATCAGTATTTCTAAAAGCTGAAAATGTGTCAGTGAGACTCGGCCCTTGTGCGTTTGCTCAAACTTCCCCAGAAAATTGCATAATGCCAACAACAGAGAGACCATGGAGGAGACTTTTGTTTGACTTCTGCTCAGGAAGAAACCTGAGCTGCTGAATAGCAAGGACTTGGTTTTTAATCAAATGTTGGAAGACTGAGGACATCCCTGAACCTGGGGTCTCTTTGGTTCTTCAGTTGTAAGCAAGCCCTTGGTATCCCTCTGCACCCAGCCAGCTCCTGTGGGCTTCCTACAGGAGCAGGGAGGAGACTCTGAGCTCCAGAAAAGCAGCAGGAAATGCAACCAGCCAAAGTGATGGTGAAGGAGAGGGGAAAACACCCCCTCTGAGATGCTTCTTCTCAATCCTGTGAGGAACGGGAGACCCCATCTCGCAGGAAAAGGTTCAGCTTATTGTAGGAGTAATTTTCTGCTCGTTTAATTATCTGAATTGGTACACTGGTAGGGTCAGGTTGATTCTAAAGCTGGTACAAGGGAAGATGGAGGAGGATGTGAGATCATCCGTGGCAAGTGTTGGGTTTTTTTCCTTGCTTTTCATGGAAAGATGGGGTCTGAAAGATGGAAGCATGGCAAATGCTCAGAGCAGCTATCCTCTGCTTGTTGGGTTTTTTTTTTTAGTGTATCATTCAAGCAATTTCAAAGCTGTGATAAACACAACCCTTCTAGTCAGAGTGCATCTCTTGTTCCCCTTTCTCTTACCAAGTTGATTTAGTAGGCAAACCTGTTTCTTCTACGATAAAGTCCAAGAGGAAGTGAGTAAGAGATGGTGACACCTCCCGTGGGAGATTCTTGGAATCCAGCACAAACGCAGACTGCCAAGAGATGGGTAAGAAATACACAGAAATGCCCTGGCTGGGGTGCAGCACTCAGGTTTGAGTTTGTATAGCAACAATGTGCACAAGTTTATCGTCATTTCTGGAGAAAAGACCCCCAAAAAAGACTGATCTGGGCACTAGAAAACATATTATGTATGAGGAAAGACTGAGGGGATTTGACTGTGTTTGGGAGATCTTTGATGCAGGAAGAGCAGAGGGGACTGAGCATGTCCAGCTCCTTCCCTTTTCTTTTTTTGGCTGGTTCCCTTCATGGTGGCAGGGAGCAAACTGGAGCCCTTTGGCCAAGTGACCGATGACTCCGAGCCCAGGGCTTGGTGGGGGCTGCAGCTCCAGGCAGCGAGAGGACAGCAGTGTCTCTCAGCTGTTACAAAAGCAGGATGTGACAGATAAGGTGGCATTGCCACAGGCTCTGGCCAAAGGCAGCGGTGGGAGGTTTGCAAGCGAGCGTCGGAAGCGCTGAGACTTCCCAGCAGAGCTCTGCAAATGCTGGCACCCTTCGAGTAGGTCTGATCTGCACGGAGAGTATTTTTCACTGAAGGCATCCTTCTCATAATAGAGAGGGAAATGTGCTTTGCAAAATTAAACTGTTTAGGGTTTTTTTTTAATTCCCTGCCCATCTTTCTCTGTTTTCCTCTTTTAATTCTCTGGGTGATATGGCACAACAGGTTCCTACACCCCCTCTGCTCTCACAGAATCACCTCGATTGGAAAAGCCCTTCAAGGTCATCGAGTCCAACCATGAACCCAACACTGACAAGTCCCCGACTAACCCATGTCCCTCAGCACTGTGTCTACACGACTCTTCAATCCCTCCAGGGATGGGGACTCCACCACTGCCCTGGGCAACCCCTTCCAATGCCTCAGAACCCTTTCAGCAAAGAAATTCTTCCTCACATCCCATCTCAACTGCCCTGGGCACAACTTGAGGCCATTTCCTTGTAAATTGTTTCTTGGTTGAACAGACCCACCCCCACCTCTCTCCACCCTCCTTTCAGGTGTGGTCCATGAAATCCAGCGAGGCAGGATTTGTAGGAAAGAGGTGATTTAAAAAAAAACACCCTAGATTTATTTTTAACCTCAAGAGAAGAGATGCCTTCCTGTAAATGCAGAAGATGTATGTGTTTTGTAAATGTTTCTGAACACACCACAGCCCAGCACTAGGGGAAACAGAACCTCTAAACTTGCTCTTCGTGTTGCCTTTGTTGTCTAATGCCACCTAGAGGTAGCAGACCTGCTTTGACATCAAGTGTATTTTCCATTTATCTGGGATTACAACTTTTTTTCTTTTTTAAATGAGGATTGACTGGTGTTTTAACCAAATTTGGATGAATGGAAGGAATTACAGAAGCCAAACACAGTCCCTGGGAGAGATGTAAGGACAGAGCCGTTGCTACATGTGGCCAGGAGGATGAAGCTTCTGTAGGTATGTATGGTTGAAACCTGGATGTTTTCAGAAGGGATGGAAGGAAAAGAGGTTATTAGTGATGCTGTTCACTCACTGATTCCTGAGTGAATGTGATGCATCAGGAAATCACCTGGTTTGAATCATCTGAACTTTAGTTTGAGTCATCTGAAGGCACTAGCTCTGCTTTTCCAAAGTGATGACTCAGGTAACGACCAGGAGATGTGCTTTAGATGTCAGATTTCTGTTTGCTCAGGCCCTTCAGAAGTTCAAGCTGAGCACATGTGCCACTATTGATGATGTAGGCACACACAGTCATCCCCCCCCACAGGAGAAGCCCAGGGCTATATCTCTGCTTGAATTATTAAAACCACCAACAATTAAATGTTTAATCTTTTGGAGCTGGGGCAGGCAGAGAGACAAACAAAGCCTGACTGTGAAATCAGGGGTGTTGCTCCACACAACCACCCCACCAGGCCATGGCCCTTTTCCTTCTTTTCTTCTTGAGAAAGCATCTAACATTAATGGTCGTGAGGATCTCGCTCTCTGGCTGCAATTTTAGCGTAGGCAGAGACATCTCTGGTCGTGGTTTGGAACATTTCTGGCTGTTTAAATACATCACTGAAAAATAATCTCAGATTTTCTAGTTGAATGAAGCTGCACATGGATCAGCATTACGTAGAGGTGCAGATAACTGCTAGAAAACACAACTATTGAGGAAAAATAATGGAGGGAAGAAGTTGTAGGGCTTGGTTTTTCCCTTTTGTCCATCCCTGAATAGCAGCTTGCTGAAAATCGTGAACTTCAAGGTATTTTGGACAGCAAGTAAGTATTCAGTGACGATTTATTCTCTGGTCTTTATTATTATTACAAAAAAAAGCAGATATCAAAAACCAGCAAAGATTTCACAAGTTCCCCAACAGTTTTACACAACTGAACCGCAGTAAAATGGTGAATGTAAAACATGTATTTCAGTCCTGGACCTAAACCTTCAACGGTGATCTGTGGTCTGGGATGCCCTGGGCTTTCCTAATTCTTTTTCAAGTATTCCTCCTAATTTTGGAACCTGATTTGCCCACTAGTGAACACGCTGTGGCACAACACAACAGGAATGTCAAGTGTCTGGTATCCTTTAAGACCCTACAGATCTAGAAAACAAAAAACCCTACAGATCTAGGAAACAAAATAGGGGAGCTTTGCAAGGATGGCGTGGATACCAGCACGCGTTCCTCAGATTAGCCCAGGCAGCCACTCTGTTGTGCTTGATAAAAATCAAATCCCTTTCAAGTTGCTGAAAGGTGATTTGCTGTGTGAAAGCTGCTTTTTGCTTCTTCTCTTCGGGATCTTTGCTCCCCAAAATAAAACAAGAGTGCACTGGGCTGGGCTCCAGCGTAAATGGACCATCAACCTTTTAAATTCTACTATCCAGAGACTGCATGATGGACAACTTCACCCTGTTGTGACTTGCTGGCTGAGGACTCAGCATCTGACTGATCACAGGGAGCCAGAACAGGCCGTGAGATGTGAGGTTAAAGAAAATACTCAGCTCTCTGGGATGATAATTGGGGTGGGAAGGGAGCCTTTGCTTTCTGTCCTATTCACGGCTGTAGGTTCAGAGGCTGACCAAAGGAAATATGGTCCAGTTACTTATATTAATAGCTGCCCCACTTCTCAAATATAGATCTTAGATCAAAACACTGCTTGGCTAGTGAAAAGAATTAAGACATTGCCCTACGTCCCTCAGCATTTGCTTGGAAAGTCAGGTCCAAATCTGGCATAATTCTACACAAATGCAAATCATCCTCAACATAAAGTTGTATAAGTCGCTTCTACGTGTCACTGAAATGTTCATCACGAGTACCAAATATTCCTGTTAGAAATAAAATTGCACCTTCATCATTTTCCAGAATTTAACCAAAAAAGTAAAAGAGAGAGATCACGATATGCGTTATTTGTCAGGTATGAAAGAAGCAGCAAGAAGGCAAAGCTGAGAGACAGGTGCTGCCCACGGGGCAGCAATGGCATTTGGTTGGTACCAGCATTTCCCACGCCGCGGGATGGCAGACAAACACTCCTCGCTGGGTTTAAACCGTCTTCCTGGCAGTCAAAACACGGACAATGGACCCTACTCCTCCAGCAGCCAGAGCCTGAGAAGAGGAAGATGGTAATTAACACCAGGTCAAGGGAAGTATGGGCTGAAACGACTGTTGGTCAGAAAGGCAAATGAGCATCTCCCCGCCCTTTGCATTAAACATGAAACACTCAGGCTCAGGGTGCCAGGAAAGGATGAGTGTTTGCTTTGAAGACAGTTATTTAACAAGCTTTTATTTCCCTGAGTAACCCAGTTGCAAATTTTGCTTCCCTCTAGGAAGGAAATTCTCCTTCCCTCTGCTTGAATCGCTGGATCAAGCCATTTTATTTGCCTCACTCTAACATAAAATCAAATTTTAACCATAGAATCTTTACCCAAGGAACTAGAAGTAGGCACGTGAGCTTGCAAAATCGTAGGGCCACAAAGATGATGAGGGCCTGGAGCATCTGCCTTACGAGGAGAGGCTGAGAGAGCTGGGACTGTTCAGCCTGGAGAAGAGCAGCCTGAGAGGGGATCTGATCAGTGTCTATAAATACCTGAAGTGTGGGGGCCAAATGGATGGGGCCGGGCTCTTCTCGGTGGTGCCCAGTGACAGGACAAGGGGCAATGGGCACAAACTGGAACACCAGAAGTTCCAGACAAACTTCAGGAAAAACTTCTTTCCTGTGAGGGTGCCGGAGCCCTGGGACAGGCTGCCCAGGGAGGGTGTGGAGTCTCCATCTCTGGAGATGTTCAAACCCACCTGGACACTCTCCTGTGCAACCTGGAGTAGGGAACCTGCTTTGGCAGGGGGGTTGGACTGGATGATCCCCTGAGGTCCCTTCCAACTCCACCATGCTGGGATTCTGTACCTTCCTCACACCAGGAAATGCAGCATTTCAGTTTTACCTGACAGAAAGGTGGCTCTTACCAGGCTCAGCAAGCGTTCCTCAGACACAAGAACCTGCTAGGACTGATAACCCAGGCCAGAGCTCACACTGCAAACGCACCTTCTCGTGCCACTGCAGCAGCACAGCGCTGCTGTTGTCAGAGGGGCTCTCGAAGCCTTTGTAGATGTACTTCATCAGCAGGTCGACGCCGTTCTTGTCCAGCGACTGCACCGCCTTCTCAATATCGTTGGCTTTGAAAGAGATGAGGACCTTCAGGACAATACTTTCTGCACGATCCTGTCAACAAACAAGGAAAGGAAATACATTCATTCTCATATAAGGTACGTCCAGATATTAATCTCTCCAAGAAACAAAACTTGAATATTTTTCTCTTTAACTATTCTAAAATACATTTGAATAGGGCAGTTTGTGATAAAGACAGGTTGTGATAAAAACATATAGCAGATACCTCCTCCCAATGATAAACAGTGTAAAAGAGCTCAATGTGTTTGTCCTGCTCTAAGTTTTCTGCCTCTCTCCTTATGTTTGCAATTCTTCACCTATTAAACGAGGTTACGGCTAAATACTCAATTTTTATATCAAAACTCAAGGTCTGGCAAGTTCTAAAAGAATTATAAGAATTAATTACTTGACTGGCCTCCCTTGCCACCAGAGCCTTTTCCATGCCTTTGTACTGTTTAATGAGATACAGCTAACATATTCCAGGGAAATGCCACTGGCCAGCCTGGAAGAGGTGACAGCTGAAGCCACAGGTTTGTGTTTTCAAACAGTCAACTTCTGTCCCAGGATGCAAACTGGCAGCATTAATATTTTGCATTAATAACCATTTGCAAGTTGATCTGGATGTCAGTTCAGGCCCAGGAATGCGTGTGGTGTGATTACAGCAGCAGATTAGCCATGTAATCAGCAAAATGCAGCTCATCCTGTTCATCCACGGCTAGCTGGGGGAGGATGAAAGAAAAAGGTCTCGGGTTTGTTGGACTTTTGAGTAATTCCATTATACAAGTCAAGCAGCTTCCTTCTTCAGAAATTATGGATGTTAGTTTTCTTGTTCAATTTAATATCTCATAGCTGCTTGGCATATGCATATAGTTCTTCTTGCATGAAGAGTTATAAGTAAAAACATACAAGTTCCACGAGATCAACTAAAAATTAAGCCAAACATTAAAATTCAGTCACTTTACCCTCTTCAATTCCACTGCCTTCAAAGTATATTCTTAAATACACCAGTACAGATGTAATGGCAACAAGTCATTCATGTGAGGACAGAGCTGTTCTGTTGTTTAAACTGTTACCAACACCTGGATCTCAAAACGCTGTGAAAACCCTCAGGAAAGGGCTGGGGCTAGGTAAAAAAATCTCCACCGGTGGCCTGGTGAGGACAGGTTGGTGCCAGAGCAGCACAGAAACGTGCCTATGGGACTCCTCGAGGAGGGAGGAGAGAGCTCTGCAGGCGTTCACCATCTGGGCAGCTCCTTGTCTTATCTGCCCACTCCTCTCAGCGCTGCAATCACGAGCCACTCAAGGTTTATTCTGGGGAGATTTGGAAATGCACGCACGCAGCAGGCTCCTGTATTCTGTCACAGGGGGAGTGCTTGTGTTTTCTGAGGTTTTAATGGCTTAATGGTGATTGGATGTGAGAACCATCAGTTCTTCCTTTTCCGTAGGCTGACGTCTGGCTGCGCCAGCAGCGTTTCCTCAGTCAGAGGTGACGGCTGCAGCTGTGGTTCCTTGATCGTTCAGTGCCGACTACATCTGTGTGCTGCCAGGTCTGGATCAGGCACAGGAACCTGGTGCCATGTGGAGTTACCCAGGGCACACAACACACAACCAGGGCAGGTAGGAGAACACACAAAACCTGACCTAGCACCAAGCTAAAGGTAGGTGGACAGATGACATCTGAGCTATCGTATTCTGAGCAAGATTAAGACACCAGAGGTCACGGATGTTTCAACATCAACTTGACCTAAGTCAAGCTTTTCCTCAAAGTACAGCTGGCAGGGTTGGTGGGGTAGGGGTTATAGAAACAGGAAAGGATTTTTCAGGAGTAACCCATGAGTAAGTGAGTTACTATTTTCACCTTCACTGCCTGGTTCTTTGTGTTGATAGGAGGGTTCTTCAGAGCTGCCTGTAGCGCAGCCATCATGTTCCCTGTGCCAGATGGTTAAGGACCCAGACACCAAGTATTTGGAAAGCAACAGAATCCTTGTAGCTGGTTTTTGCATGACTTAAAAGTACTTCAGGTTTGGTGGATGCAATGATTCCCTCAACAGATAGCACAGATTATAGTGTAAGGTAGCAGTTCCTGAGCTATTTGAGGAAGGAGCAGCACCCACAAGAAGCTGTACAGTTCCAGTTTTGGAGAATACTTCTTAGGCCCTTTGTTGAAAAAAGGATCTAAGTAAAAGAAATTCTCCATCACCTCTGCAATTTGTAGCCCTTGAGAACAAGCCTCAGCTTGGCACATCCACCTCCAACAGCTGCTGGGAAGAGCTACTGTGTGAGTCTCCCAGCCAGGGCAGCCGGCAGTGGGAGCGGGCACAGGGAGCTCTCCTGTCCCCTGTCCTCCATCCCTGTCACCTCCCCTCACCACACACACCTCCCAGATACCACAGCCCCAGACACTGCTGCTGCTGTCAGGAGGGAGAGGAAGTGGAGGTTGTCCTTCCCCTGTCACCACGGGCCCCTTTCCCCTGTCATCCCCTGTCACCCTCGGTCCCCTGTCACCCCGGCCCCTTTCCTGTCACCCACTGTCACCCTGGCCCCTTCCCTTCCACCACCCTGGTCCTTTTCCCCCATCACCCTCGGTCCCCTTCCCCCTGTAACCC